GACGAAGAGGAACTTGTGAAGGTATCCTTCCCGTCCGAAACACCGGAGGAGAGCACCTTAACGCTCTGCAGTCCGATCAACTTGGGTGAGACCTTTGAGCGTGAGGAGTTGCAGAAGCTTCCCCAGCTGCAGACCAGGATCATGGAGATGCACTTCGCCAAGGCCCTCGGGGAGCAGGGCTTCTTCCGGAACGCCCTTCTGCCGGAAAAGAGCTCCGACGACTACCTCCCCGATCTTCCAAAGATGCTCATCGACGACTTGCGCCTGGCTTACTACACCTTTGCGGAGAAGGGAGATCAGTCGGGAGACGTTCAGGGAAAGATTGTTTTGCCAGCAAGTCGCGTGATTGATGCCTTGCTTTATGTCGGCATCTTCCACATCTTGGCCGAGGAGGTTAACAAGAAGGACCTCACGTTGGAGGAGCCGCCCCCCCCCCCCCACCTGAACCCTGAAGCGCGACGGATTTCCGATAAAGGCTTGGAGATTGGGGCTCCTCGACTTCCCGGCTTGGCTTTGCGGTGAAACCAGGGAGCGGCTGTAGGAGTTCTGCAAGATGGGTTCAATAAGGGGTTTGAGGAAGCCGGGAGACTGTTCTACGCCTAGAAAAGTTGGGTAGAAACACGACTCACGACACCTTCGCTTGTGAAGGAGTTCCTGCAGCTGGGTCGCGAGTGCCATCTGGCGCGGCTGCGCCCCGAGCAACTTGCAAAGATCGAGGAGCTATGTCGGTCGCATGAGCATGATGTCGCCGGGCTTCCAAGGGGGGTTTCTCTAAGGCTCCAGGAGCTCTTCTCCTAGGTATTTGGGGGTTGTAGATTTGGTTATGTAGGATTTGAGAGTTTCGATTGTCTGAGCACGAGGTCCATGGGCAGATGCAGCTGCTGGTGGCAGACGTGTCCCATATGCTGAAGATGCTCCTGGGCATCTACCTGGACTTTGCGATCAATGATGCGGTGTCGGCTGCATGGGGTCAGGAGGGAGTTTCTGAAACATGGGACCCTGGTAGTTCGATCCTGACTCGAAGGGGCCCCTCCATGAGAGCCCTAGGCCGTTGGCTTTAGAATCCCCCAAGGAGACGGCCCCTGACACCCACGTGACCCACAAGCAGTTTGCGGGGATCGTCTCGTTTTACGTGAAGCGGCGTGAGCGAGACTGGAAATTGCTCCAGGGAGTGTTCGAGCTCATGGGGACGGAGACCTTATCGGGAAGCCTAGACAAAGATCCTGTGCAGTAGAGCAAGTAACTTCTAAACCTCTGTGGGGAACCAGAATCCATATATCGGACATATTCCTAGAGGTTAGCCCTGAGTTAACTCTAAGAAACTGGACAAGTAAGGATCTCCTTGAGGAGTGCAGGGCACGGCGTTCGGAGGACACTGACGGAGACACGACTCCCCACGAGGAGATGTTATGGGCTGCAGACTGGATCCGACGTGGCGAAGGAAGAGGCCTGCACTTGGACACCTGCAGCCTTCTCACCGTTTTCCTGACGAACTTACAGCGAGGTAAAGGCCGCCTCCCTCCGAAATCGGCGATGTCTGAAGAGGACGTGCGCCCGAAGCGTGCATGGGACCGACTCCTCCATGCGGCCATGAAGAAGAAGGGCTCGTTGGCGAGCCAATCCCTCGTTAGCAACATCGACTTCTCGAAAAAGATGCTGGTCGATCAGCCACAGTCCACCTTCGGTGATAGTCCTGCCTGGGCACAGGCAATCATTGACCTTCTTGAACGGCCACAGACATCAATAGCAGCTGGAGTCGTGGGTTACACTATGCTTGTCTGGACCGTGGCGTCCGTGGTTGCCATCATCGCAGAACCCATGATTTCTGGACTTGACGAAGACCAGTCGGAGGACGATCGTCTCTTCTGGCTGGGTTGCGACATGTTCTTCGCCGGCATCTTTACGATCGAGACTGGGCTCTTCTTAAGGAATGTGGTTGAAGCTCCCATAAAAAGGAGGCCTTATCATTTACAATCGATCCTTATTGTGATAATTTCAATTAAACTCCTTAACGAGAACCCAGGAGATACTTCTCAGGATCGTCGCGCGGTGTGCGTTGCGTCCAGGATGGAGAACGCTCTGTGATTTTTTCTCACAGCCTTTGAACATCCTGGATGCCATCGTCGTGATGGAGATCTACTTCGACCATCTGCTGCATCAGCCGGCCCTGAGGCTCTTCATCTTGGAGCGCTTTGCCCGCCTTGCGCGGGTTTTCAGGCTTTGCAAATTCAAAGGGTACGGGTGCCCCATGCTTGCGCCGCTGACAGCAGTGCTGGTGGTGATCATGGGCACCTATTTGCTGAACCTGGAGGGTGTTATTGAATAGTCGCCCAGGTGTTCAGCATTGTGAAGATCTGACATGCTGGCCTACCCTAAGCCCTGTCCAATGCTTAAACCCCAAAGCTTAAGCTTTAAACCCTAGGCCTCAGACATTTAACCCTTGAGCTGCTGAGCTGTCAGAAGTTCCTTGACAGAATCGCCGGAGCTGCGGGACCTGTCAGTTCCAATCTTTTCTGAACCCCAACCCTCCCCCTACCCCCAAAGTACCTTCCCCCTACCCTTGAGGACCAACTGAACTCTTAAACGGATTTATGGCTCATATCGCATTTTAGTGTAGAAGATGTAGAGCTGTATACTTTTGCAGGGTCATCTGGTCCTTAAGGAGCCCATGTGCCTGCCTGGCACCATAAGCGCGTAGTCGCGGAGAGCTGTGGCAAGCAATGTACACTGTTTTTGCAGAACGCCCTTGCCCCATCCTGTTCAACACAGGCATTGTGGGCAGGATCCCTCGCAAGAAGCTCGGGAGGATCGGGGTAGCATCGGTGAAGGTTCAATGCAAAAGTCAAACTGCCCAAGCCCTTTTCCCGTAAACCCAAGCACAACACTTGAAGGCGAGGGATGGTTTGTCGTTGATGAGGCCTAAATTTGTATGCCTGTGGATAAGCAGCTTGGATATTGAGTCTCTGGACGCTGGAAAATCGTTGGACAGCTTCGTACTACCCAGAGTCCTAGAGCATTTCCCGGACTGTAGGACCTATGAAGCCCTACTCTAATGCTCAAGGCCTCGACACTGATCCCTACAAATCCCTTATAGAGCCCTGTCACCCCATTCCACTCATCGAGGCCCGTACCATGTGGATCTAAATTACGGTCCCACTTTAGGTCCCCAAAATAGTACGGCACCCTTATACAAAGGACCCGAGCAGTGAAGCCTCCGCCTCCGGATTCCTAGCGTGGAGGGTCGCCCCGCTTGTCTCCAAGCCAACTCCCAAGAACCAGAACCCTAAACCCTAAACCCCTAAACCCTGAACCCTGCACCCTGAGCCCTAAACCCTAAACCCTAAACCCTGAACCCTACACCCTGAACCCTAAA